CACATATTTGGCACATTTTGTTTTTCTGTACATAAATTTTAGGTATATATAGGTACTGTAATATACAGGGTTACTTATACTTCATGTAACAAATAGCATGACATTGTAATGTAAAATCTTACATGAAATATAAGTAACTCCGTATAAAAAACTCGATCCATTCGCGTCACGGTCGCAAATAAAATAACAATCCCATTGCAATTTAATATTTATTATAGGTATGTTATTTAACTTATTAACGCGAGTACTTGAATTAAACGTGTTGAGATCTGACTAAAGTACAACGATTAAACACCCAAATACATTAACTTGGATTCTCGGCAGTCGAAAAATTGCTCATTATTGTAAATTAATCCGTGGCACTTATAAGAGTTTTCGATAAATTCTTGTCGGTTATTAAAATATATAGACGAGGACGTGTGATTGGAATAATAAAAAGCTTGTGCAATTAAGGGATTATTCAGTATAATATTTATAATGAGGCGTTATAATATATGATAAAACCGGAAATTCATATCCTATTCGAGACGATCACCGGGGAGAATGTACCACGGTATTTTGCGTTTTTAATTACAAGGATAAGTTTCATCAAAAACAAAATTGGATTTATCGATTTAACGGCCGTTTCTTTTACCAAGAAATATCTGATCGTGCCTTAAAAACCTCGAGCCGCCCGAATCGGCTGACGTTCGGCTTTTACTTAGTCTCTGCTTTCACAATTTTGTTTTGTAAATTATCTAAATTGCAAACGCTCGTATGTTCGCTTCAATAAACACTTTGCCAAATTTGACATAGCTCAATAAGTATAGTTCAATTTAAAAAGGAAAATACTTATAATTTAATTTTGTTAAAAACTACAAATATCGCAAACGTCGACGGAGAGAGATGTAAAAATAACAAATAAAATTAAAACTAGCTACCAAAAACCTGATACAGGCAACGTTATGTCATGAGTGAACTTAAAGATTTATTTTGAACTCGGTAAGTTGTAAAAAAAATATATTATGATTTATCGCATCTCAAATAATTAAATGTTTACTTTCAAAATTAATCCATTTATTTTTGCACTGAATTTTCATTGATTTTTTTAATAATTTAAAAATAATTTTGACTCGAATGTGTCAACTGCGAATATCAATGTATAATAATAATGTTAATTATGAAGAAGAAAAAAATCAAGGGAAGAGGAATTTAAGACTTATTTGGATTCACTCTAGTATGCACACTGATCGATAAGATTCGATAAATAATATCCACGTAGACTTGATGAACCGAAAAGATATAAACATCACGTATAGCTTTTTGCATCAATTTGTAGCTAAGAGGGTGATTTTTTTTTTGTACGTTTTGTTTCAGTCACTTTTTGTGAGCAACTAGGCATGTAACAAGGATTTATACATTACAGTTTATAATATAATACACAATAAATGTAATCAGTTGGAACGAAAAGCGTTTATTTTTTTCTGCGTCGTTTGACCTTTTTAGCCGTTAAACGATTTTCTAAAAGCGCTATTTCTCTTACGGCTAGACCAAGTAAAGTTACAAATAGGGCAAAATGTATTATGCGTTTGTCAGCTGATTACGGCTTGCGTGTATCGTTATGTCTAATTAGGTATAGACTTACTGTATATATCGCTTTTCTAACGGAAAAATGTACCTACCGCAATGCGTTCTGAGGATAATTGCTGATATCGATTAGATATATAGGCCGCAATGACCACACAGTACATATAGGTACACAAGTAACATTAATGGCATGGCATGGCATATTGGCCTTATATATTATTAAAACTTTAATCGAAAAAATACCGTCGTAAACCGACCGAATGAAATAAATAATCGTTAAGAATTATTAGTCGTAAACGTCTTGGATCCATTGACTTGTACGGATATAAAACTGTTCCTTGCAATAAAACTACCACCGAATCAATGCGAATATTGGGTACTTACTACTTACTAGCAATAACCTGTATTATTTTTTTTCGGGTGAAATTCATTAATATTTAATTAATATTATTTATAACGTTTATTTTATCTATAATATTTATTAAGACTTAATTTAAGTAGTCTTCCGGTAAGGTTAGGGTTTGGTGGCTAAAACTGAAGATCTGAAATTATAATGACGTTGAAATGGACGTGTTGAGTTAGTAAAAGCTAGAAAGAATTAGGAATGAGAATTAATAACTATTGAATTTAGGAGTAGTTAGGTCTTCCAAGTATTCTGTCGGTCACGTCTATTCCGACATGCATAATATCAGAAGGGATTATCTATGACGTTTTCGGGAAGATTTTTTTAAAAAGTATTTTTAAAAATATTTCTAAGCAGCTTGGGTTGACGCATTATCGCATTTAAGTGTCGCTATTTTCTTTTCCTCGGTAGTCTGTTCAGTGCAAGTAAGCAGTCAGTTTATTCTATTTCATATACGGTTAAAGCTGTATTTTAATGTTAAATTTTAATAATTTTTTAAAAATCAAAATTGATCAACAGTCTAATCTAATTTGTATGGTCTAAAAATAGTTGAATTGTGAATTTCGAAAAGGCTCATATCGGAAAATTAAAATTTTTCAGGAAACTCAAAAAACTGATTTTCTTTTACATTTCCTTTTATTTTTATGAATTTTAATTTTTATATATAGTTTTTTTCATCACAATAGAAAACAGATTTGGGCCCTTTTCGCTCATAAAATATCGGTCTATATGTGTAAATGAAAAAAACGCGGAAAAATCAATTTTGATCAAAACTCGAGATGGGCCCTTTTCGAAATTTACAATTCAGTTTTAATAGAAATTAGTTATAATAATTAACACAGATACTGTTGTTGTGTGTAAACTGGTTTTGGTAATTCACCACGCAGTCTTTATCAAAGCGTCGGTGGCAACTATATTATTTGATCAGCTATAAATATTATATAAAGTATAAGGAAAAAACAGTACTTTGCTTTTAAGGCTTCTTTTAACCTTTAACAAAAAGAAAAAAAAGTACTATAATATACCGCGCGATGATGATGAGACGTGGTGCATATATTTTAAGGTTTTTTTTTCTCTAAGCTAGTAGAGTATGTACACATTTATATATATATATATATATATATATATATATATAAATATAGTTTATATAAACTCAGTTATGTATTCGCTGGTATTCGCAATTGTGTGACCTAAACGGTTTTTACGGAAACGACGATAAAACGCTTTTGGAAATGTGTTTCATTTTTGGCGCTCAATATATAATATAATGCACTACCAACACTTCCCGGGGGCGTACACTGATATTTGGTAATGCTTATATTATTATTAGAATAATACTGAACGTTTTCTTTCGATTTTCTTTTGGCACCGTCACCTTTCAAGCCCTTATAGTCTTTTCGAAATAGCGCACTCGGATTTCCAAGCAAGTATTATTGAGTCTCGACCCGTTAGTGGTTTTGGTTTTATTTGGTTTTTATCTTTTGTGAATTTCTAAACTTGCATGTCAAACGTTAAACGTTTTATTTGGTTATAGAAACGGCTTACTATGTGTAAAGTTTATGTACCTAAAATTATAATATTTATAAATAATGTATTTTTATATGATACATTATAACATTTTACGTACAATGGAATATACAAACAGTTTTAGATCATTTTAAATAATAATAGATTTTATTGGCAAAACACCGCCATTAATAGGGAACACACCTATGTTTCAATCAGTGGCGTCGTTTCAATTTTTGAAAGGGAGAGGCAAAAGTTTTAACCGACCCATATATGTTTAAACCGCTGGCGAGCTTCTTGTCACATTTTTGTAGTCTTACATAATTTTATTGTTTATATGGACAATTTTCCAAAGTATCCATGTCTCCAATGTCGTGACTATACCGACTGGCTGGCTTGTTTCCTATCTCTATATATGCGTGCCGCATCCTTGAAAGCACCGTGTTATCTCGACCAGGGGGGTTAAGCTGCCGTACGACACTTCGTGGTTGAGATAACACGATTCTATCTATGATGTGGGATAGCGGTAGGAAACAAGCGAGCCAGTCCGTATAGTCACGAAAGCCGTACGATGACGAAGATGGCCTATGAAACATCCGAAAATTATCCACATAATATTTCAATCCAGAAAAACTCTAACAAATTCATAATTATATAATTAATTAATTATGATAGGCGCGTATAGCCTAACATTTTTGGTGAGAACATTTACCAAAAAACAACACGGGACTACAAAAATATTATACCTACTTGATCTGAATTGAAATTCAGATTAAGGTAAAATACTATTAATTTTTAAATATACTGGGTGATCTGATATAAGATACTTTTTCTCGGAAAGTAAAAATATTTTGTTTTCTTATATTTGTAGGTGTATATTTTACTGTATTTTTCAATACTTTATAGATTATTATTTTCATCCCTTATACGTAAAACAAGACTTATAGACCTCGTTTTTTCAAGTGGAAGCATATGTTTTTAATTCCATAAATATGTAACCAAAATTTGGAAGCGTTTTGAATTTTAGTTTTTATTAATCCGTTTATTTTCTATACCTTTGTTATAATATTACGTTTTCCTTTATAATTGTCTTATTTCTTTGATTGTTCAAAACCCAGTAGCCCATAAAATTCATATTTATGTTTGCATTGTCCGATGAACGATTACAGCGATAACTCGACACAATAAAATGTTTTGAGATTATGATAGACTAGCGGTTCTTATCTACCTATTCAAACAATGTGAAGGATACTGTTTTTTGGACACTGAAATGATAAGCAGAAATGTAATATCTTTACAAAGACATAGCAAACATTTATTTTGCAGCTTTTGTAAAAATTATCAGGTTAAAGTTAATATTAATCGGATAATTCATAATTACTTCAAACCAAAGATATCATTAAAATAAGTTCAACATTTTCATATTTCTTAGGAAACATTGTTACATAAACCAACATTAGTTCAAAGTTCATACTTTGAATTGTTGGCATTGTTGTAATCTGTAGGAATTTTAAACTGTACTCACTTATCAGCTATATCTTTTGATGTCTGTTTTGACGTATACAATCTTGCAGTAGTTTGCTTCTTACGCATGTTAAAGACTGGGATAACTGTTTAAATCGTCTGAATACTGAAAATTAGAAAAAGTACATTATCAATTTATTTCAAATAATTAATTAAGACTAAGTATATATTTCTGATTTTGAACATCGTACAATTTTTGGATATCGTGATTTCGTTGATCATCATAAAAAAGCATCATTTGTAATTTTTTAAATGATTATAAGTATATAAACTTAAAAATGAGTACTTCTCTGTTAAACGAATTTCAATTTTTTACTGTGCTTTTGAAGATCTAAAAACTTAAATATTTCTGAAAACAACACAGTTTTTACGTTTGATTAATAAAACCTCGATTTGCGATTATATGCTAATATTATCATCTCGCTACACAATAAGTTTAATTATTCTAATCGTTTTTGCTAAACTTGAATGTTCAGAATATTAACGTTAAGATTACTTGAGTTTCTTTTGTAATAGGGATACGAATTTTAATTAGTCACGTCTTTACACCAAATCTATCTTTAAATCTCAACAATAAACAGACTAGTAAATTGGAAGAACAAAACGGTTACTAATCTAATATACATGTAATTTACAATAGATTTTCTTTGTAGAATTCAATCGAGTATTAAAATTAAGCAAAATAATGGAGATATTAATAAGAAGTTATGGCGGGGACCATAATGTGTGGTGGACGGAGACAATAAAAATGTTGTAAGTTAGAAATGTACATCAAATAGTCTCGGTTATAAATACAAAATAGAGTTATGTCGAAAAGTTAGGGTAATAGTGGCTATTAGAAACATTTGGTGAAAGATTAATTTTTTGGCTAACCCTATTTAGATGAGAATGTCAGGAAGAAGAATGTAATATCAGACTTATCATATTAACACGAGCTGATAATTATTATACAAGTAATATTTTTAATTGGGCTTTACCATCAATAACCATTATTCTTGGAGATACTAAAGAAAGAATTATTTCCAGACTAGCGTGATTATTGAGAATGGCTTGTTTCTTGAGAAATAAACTTTAGCAATAGACTGTTTAGGCTTTTAACAATAAAACAAAGTAGACAATTTTCTAAAAATGTATGTTTCAAATTTTTTATATTTCCAGAAGAAATTGTGTTCAGTGACGCCAAATACTTTTGTATGGGATTTCTAACACCAATATTTTGTTATACCTATTATTTGATTATTTTTCGATAAATAAGTTATAGTTCCTTATACAGGGTACTCTTGAGAACATTTCAGCGATACACCGGAAACAACGTTGTATTCCCAATGTTATTACTATTTACTTGGGCGGAAGTCGAAGTTTGTTTTCCTGCTATAGTTTTCCTACTATACTATATTCCTATTATAACAAGTGTTATAAATACTAGGCCGGAAGTAATAATTGGGATCAGCATATTGGAATGATTTCAAATTAAATGCACTACAAACAAACATCGACAAAAACTGACAAATTGTCGGCGTTGAAATATTTTAGTGTGAAACATTTAGTATGTTAATAAAATTTCCCACAGTAATTTCGAGTAGTCAGAAAAAGTTGAATACATTTCAATAAAACCTTTACTATATGTATAAAATATAAATATACATACGTACTTTTTTTATTTTTATTATTGACTAATAAATTAAATATATTTTATTGACAACTCAGACTATCCGTCAGAAATAGTAACTGTATGCAGACAAACATAAAACAGTTAAAAAAAAAACATCATGTGAAAACAATTAAATTATACAATATAGCTTCGTACCTATGCTAAAATGTCAATATTTTTGTAATGATTTTTTTTTTTTTTTAATGATAACGAAACCGAACGTGTATTGGAAGGACACGACACAATGTTATTATATTATATGATATTGTTTTAGCTTTGACATCGAGCTCACTGTTTTAAGTATGATAATTAATTTGCAATTTATAACACACACACACGTGCATATGTATGTATATCCCCGGTCCCATATGATGTCGGGGCACACCACAAATAACATATTCATTAAAATACTGTTATTATTTTGTTGCATCATAAATCAAAGAGCAGTGTTGTACTTTCGACTGGGTCGTGCTACACAAAGCTCGAACTGTTCTCTCTATACAAACAATGGAAAATAATATAACCATAACCATAATTATTATTATTATTCGTGTACATAGTATTTATTGTAATTTTTTTCAACTTCGATTTACCCTCGTTTTTACACCACCTCAGTCGCCGGCACAACAAGTTTACATGATTTATTTATTGTATTTAAAATGACACAACAAAGTTTGAAAACAAAATAAATAAATAACAAACCGACGAGTATGAGTATCGTATAAAGCTGCATTTAAAATGTATAATGTACATCGCAACTTTGAACGTTTTTTCGTGTAACTTGTCAAATTGTATAAACCTGTTAAGCATTTTACCGGCTCATACACTTTGTTGATGGTTTGTTTAATATTATATTTTATGTATCATACACACATGATAATATTTTTTAGCACACGTCATCCATATAAGCCAATCACCGTTAAATACGCGATTTAACGACAGATATTCTTAGCTTCTTTATCTTCCCATTGTGTTGTAAAAAAGTGTATTTAAAAAAAAAAACAATAAAATGTGTTATGTAACTCCTGGAGAGAGATGCTGTAACACAACTTCGGCTAAACTATAAAATAGATTTTATGATATCTCGGTAAAATGTTAATTAGATAATATCATAATCATAGTTCAGGTAAATCAACAAAAATGTAGTCGGTTAAGGCGCTATTACTGTTAAACTTTGATAATATTTAACGAATAGTTATTAATATTACTATTTTCTTTATATGAAGCAAGACTGTGTAACAGGTTTTAACGGGACATTAGTGGGTGTAAAAAAGTGTATTTTAAATTTTTAATTGTACCCTTTTAAATTTTGATCAGACTTAGAAGTGAATGCGGGTATAATAGATGATAATTTTTTGTGATTTTTATATAAACGAGACAGTCGAAGCTTGACGATTCAGGTAAAACCAAAAAACTACATAAAATGGCCTTTAGGGCTCAGAAAGGTTTGCCAAACTTATATGGTTGTTTTTAATGGGCAAAGCAAAGTTCGTGTATTCGCGAAATGAAATTGTCAAATGTAAAGGGACACAAAAAAAATATGATTAAGTGTATAAAAACTACACGTTGATCGTCGTCTCGTCGGGATCATGTCGACAATGTTAGTAAACATACACACACACACACATATTGTGTAATTAATCATTCTAGTCGATTGTTTGCAAATTGCATGCGCACATTGATGACGATGTAGTTAGCAAAAATAATTTACATTTTCCACTTGGGTGCACAAAAAATACATGCTACACACTTTTCGGGCTATGTGTGTGTACATCCGGTTAACACTACACCGTGTATCCGTCTTGGCTTTTGTCATCTCTACTTTTGAGGCTAAGAAAACTCAAGTGCCGTTAAGGGATAACATGCCGACGCACTCGAGTGGGTATTTAAATATATATATAAATTTGAGCAAAATCGTTTACCAGCTGGTGCCCACACTCAACAGCCAACGAGTAACTACCTGCTCTGGTGATGGTAAATTTATTGAACATAAATTCATAAAAAAAATAGTAATAATAACACAACAGAAAGATAGAGAGAGTTTTTTTTAGCGAGACAGCAACTGATTTTTTATAAAAAATAATACTACTTAAACCAAAATATACTAACACGACACAAATCTTTTAACAATAATTCTTAAATGTTATACACATTTAATAATTATTGTACGCCAGTTATTTTTAAACTATCACATTTTTATACTTATAATATTTTTTTCAATTCCCACAAAATGTTTAGACAACATCATTTGGTTAAAATTCCTATGGCTTGTTTGAGTAGTTATAACTACTCGGTAACGTCTTAGTGTACACATTAGCTGGAATTACAGAAACTGGAAGAGTCCTATACTATAAATTATATAAACTCTTACCGTTCTGCATAGTAGAGCATTTAAAAATAAAAATAAATATAATGAAGCTGTATCAAATCAATATTTATCATAGTTAATATTCAGTATTATCATATTTCTTTTAATTAATGAGTATAAAAACTATCTCCGTTGTCTTGATATTTTTTTTCAGTCTTCAATATTTAGAAAGTTCATTATTAATAACATTTTCGTAGCGAACCCTAATTATTTCTGACAAACAATTAACACACTTCTTAAAGCTAAAATATACAGTAGAGTAACAGATACGTAGTTCATTATTATCTTTCAAAACGAAAAGTTCCAAACAAAAACTTACACTGTTAAAGTTACTCTGTTTAACTCCACTATTTTTTCATTCATATTTTTCACTCAACTAAAAGCGCTAAACTAGGTACTTTGCCTAACAAAGTTTTTCAATAAAAATATTCTTAAACACGTAGTAACATACTTAAGTGATAAATAATATATTGTTATAATCTTGTACTACATAAATTGGCTGAAGCTTTAATGGATTGTTTTATGAAGCTTTATGTTGTTAAAACATGTTTTTAAGCTGCTTAGTAAAATAATTTTCAAATTATATTATTGTCCGAATAACTTCCTTTTATATTATTGTTGATTATTATTAAGCGATAGGAGTTTATAAGATCTGGGTTTTAGATTAAGAGAATATTTCACTGGAGTTGGTGTTGTGTACAATGTATCTTATTTAGACTCGTGGACCTAAGGGTAGAATTATACGGGCTCGTTTCACATGTTATAAATGTGTCATCCCAGATTTCTCGAGGCGGCCATTTATCTCCTACCTACTCTTTTTGTCTAGTTCATAAATGGAGTTGAAACTTGCTTAACGTTTTCCACCTTTTACCATTTATGATGTCTACATCAAAATTATACTGTTTTGTTGTACACAATCACTTCGCTCTGTACTGGCATTATCTACAGACCCTAGGTGGTTCGTTAAAGGAACGACGCAACGCAAAAACACTCTTAACAAATAACAATTAAACGCTTTGGTGTATAAACATAATAACGACGCTTTGTTAAACACTAGTCGTGGCATTCGAGATGCGAGAACAATAAT